ACTTGCTTAAACGGTCCACAATGACCACCAGACCCGTGTTGCCTGCCCATGGACTGCCAACACCCGGAGAGTACCGGCAAACTGGACAGCGGCGCCGCCGCATCTGGAGAGGTGCTGCCCTCTGACACCCATACATAGTCTGGTCTGCATGACAACGTATCAGCCAAAACATTCTGCTTTCCTGGCTTAAACTTCACCTCGAAGTTATATTCTGCAAAGAATGAGAGTCACCTGGTCATCCTCTGCGAGATGTGAGGCGACTGAGTCGCAGTGCGTAATGACGCATGATCTGTGTAGATCACACACGGCTTTGAGCCAAGCAGGCACACCTTGAACTTGACAAGTGCATACTTCATCCCAAGTAATTCATTGTTGTGGACAGGGTAGTTCCTCTCCGCAGCTTTAAGCTGGCAAGATTCAAACGCGATCACCCAATCTCGAGGGGCCCCTCAACATCTTCTTGCAGTAGTGCACAGCCGATCGCAAAGTCCGAAGCGTTACAGAGGACAGTAAAAGGACGATCGGGGTCTGACGTCTTCAGTATTTGTGCATAAAGGAGGCTGTCTTATACACTGCCAAGAGCCTCCCGATACTCGGTTTCCCAACACCATTCCTTATCATTTTTAAGAAAATTCGACAATGGTCGTGCCATTTTCGCATAATTTGCGCTATACTTGTGCAAGTTGTTGACGAGGCCAAGATACTTGCGCAAGTCCCGTTAATTCTTTGGAACCAGCAAGTCCACAATGGCCTTGCCCTTAGCTAAAATCCGCTCGAAAGCCATGCTTCCCAATAAAGCACCCTAAAAAGGGAATTTCTTCCGCGCCAAAGATGCACTTTTCCGCATTAGCATACAGCTTATTCGTGCGCATGCACTCGAGCACAGCTCTCAGATGGACGATGTGGTTTTCCACATTTGTCCTTTCGTGCCCCGCACGACTGTGGACGAAGATGTCATCAAAGTATGTTTGTGCATACGTCCCATGGGGCCTAAACAACTGCGCCACAAGACGATTTCATGTTGCTATTGCATTTAACTGCCCTTGGTGCATCACCAGTCAATCCTAGAGCATCCCGCTCGAAGTACTCACCGCTGTCAGCGGAAAATCACTCGCTTAAATAAGCAATTGTTAA